AATTTTGATAATCAAAGTTAACAAGTTGTTTTCCTTTTTTCTTCGCAGTGTTTTCTAAAAGAATTAAAAAAACATGTTCTCCATGTTTCTGTTGAGTTATAGAAACACTTGTGAAAGTTTGGGAAAACTCAAAAAAGCTGTGGAAACACTCACCTGCAGCTCCTGTTCCCACAGCATTTCTCATTCTCCCAAACTTCCACTCATGTTTCTATAACTCAATAGAAACAGGGTACATGTCTTCTATTTCTTAATTTATAAATTTTTTTTTTCTGTGCCAGGCAAATCCAAATTATGCTGACCAACCAGTTGAAGTGCAAGTGTTTTCAAGGGCTCGCCTAGGTGGAAGAAAGGCTCCTCAAGGGTTTGTGTTGATATTATTATATATTAGAAATAATTTACTTCCTCATCCTGTATACTTATCACCAATAATTAAAAAAAAATTAAGCGCAAACCAGTGGAAAACAATACAGGGCAATGTTTTTCTGTTAATTGAAAACCACATGCAAAAATTTAGGCACTTTTGAGGAAAACAAATTTCACACAAATTTTGTACTTGGCATGGGTTTTTGCCGACCCCTTCAATCATATATTACCAAATTCATAACTTTGAACTAGTCTTCAGTGTATACAATGTAAATTTGGTACCTTCATACTTTTTTGAAGTATTACAACATAAATACTGAAACAGCACTCTGAAACAAACCGTATACATGCACATGTAAATGTGTGTATCACCTCCTTGTCTTCAAGCAATTCACATGAATGCAATACCTGTGAATAAGGACTGATTTCCAGGAGCCGTGCCAAGCCAGACAGACCATGTGATCCACCACCAACCCCCCTCCCCAGAATACTCACAGACTAGTACCCAGACTCCCAGGCATGTTTAGGAAACTTTTTCTGTTAAGTTCATACCTCAATACCTTTGTACTGTTTCACACCATATAGAGCAACAGCTAGAATTCTGTCAGCATTTGCAGTCTATATTAATAGTACCATACTTATGCAAGTCTAAGTAGGAAATTTCCTGCAGATAGTGCTCACAAAAATTTGTGAAACCTTTCTGACAGCCAGATTTAAAACTATCTAGGACGCTCTGCAATTATCATTGTTTTTTATTTTACAAGACAGCTTGTGTTGTTGTGTGATGACGTTGCCCATAAATCCCAGCAATCCCAAACAAATAGTGCAATCTGAGCACATCCATAGCTTGATGGGATAAATACCTGTGTTCCATAAAATGTTTTGCACATAAATATTACTCCCNGATAAAAAACAAAGGTACCGGATGAATTTATTTTTCGTAGTGTTTGGCTTGTTTGTTTTGCTGCCAAACTCGATGATCGATGTTCTTGTAAGCTTATTATTAAAACTACGGCTGTATAAACGTGTATGCACACGAACAATTACGTCCATGTTTTTATGTTTTAGTCCATTATTTTGTAGTCCTTGATATTCACCTCTGAAAATTATACTAAAACAATTATTATATAAACTATAACTGTAGTGAATATTGTCGAAAACGCGCATGAAATGAGTACAAACATATAAACAATAGTCTCCATTTGGCACGACAATATGCTAGCCCTAAGGATATTTGTCTGTGGACATCTTTTCAGAGAAGCAAACAGTTTCCTGAGAGTGTAGCTTGAGGAAAATTGTGAGCTTTGAGGAACAGATAATATCCAAGGGCAAATATCCAAGCATATTTTCACAACAAATAGACGCTATCATGTTTATTATAATCCTTCAAATATTTTTTGCAACTTGTGCAGTTTTGGAAATTGGGGAATATCCCTTAGATATTCTCCAGTTTTAGCTGGGGCACATTCAGTCAGGTGACGCACTTACACCAACTGTGCACAAACAAAGATATTTGATGGATTATAAACAGCAATATAGTATAGTTACTGCTGTGTTATTTGTATTACAGTACAAAACGTGACATCATCATCTCGTCTGGAATAAGCATCTTTTATATTAACCTTTATAATGCACCCCTATTCGGCAGATACCCCTAGCTATTACGTGAACACTAATAAAAATAAATTTTAGTTTTGAACAATTTTCTGTTGTTAAAAACCTCTGTTTACGGAACTGACAGACTGAATGTACAATGCAGTATCAGATCAAATCCTTTAATGTTAAGTCTTTGGTCAGTGTTGGAAGCTGTCATGTTGTTTATATAATTGCAGTTGCTCCAGCCAGCCACAGTTGATGGCCCTCATTTACACACACCAGACTCTAACAGCAGCCTTATAAGGTGGTCTCTACAGTTAAAAACAGTCAGTGTTTAAAAATGAAAAAATAAAAATAAACCCCTTGGAGCTCTCTGTTGTTATAAGCAGTAGCAAATAAAATTCTTGTATTAAAACACTAACTAAACAATTCTATGGTTGTCACTATGTATACTGACTGGTACGGTGGAACCTTGGTAATTATAACAGAGGGTCAGGGGACTGGAAAAATTTGTTCACTATAACAAGGTTTCATTATATCGAGGTTCTATTCCATATAGTATGTTACTATTACTGAGGCAAAGAATATCATTGGTTGTACCGAGGACTTTGTTATACAGAGGTTAGTTAAATCAAGGTTCCACTGGATCATGAGTACTGTACGTAGTCTCGACCGCTATGTCGACCGACAGTCAGTCGACACTCGGTCGACACTCGGTCGATAGCTGGTCGACACTCGGCTGATAGTCGGTCGATATATCAGTTGAGATGTGTGTTGGCCGATACAGTTTTCAGTTTACCGATACTTCACTGATATTTTGCCGATACTTCACTGATACTTCGCCGATACTTCATTGATACTTTGCTGATACTTGGCCGATACTTCTCTGATACTTCGCCTAGTATCGGTCGACTATCGGTCAAAAGAAAAGCAAGCTTCAGATATGTCATTCAATGTGTCGGTCGATATATTGGTCGATAGTCAGCCACCGTGTATGTCGGTCTACATAGTTTTTAGTCTGGTTACCAATAACACTAAAAAATTGGAAAAAAATACTGAAATATTGAATGTTTTGTTCAAAAACACCACAGTTGAGTTTGTTTCTGACCAGATGCATGAGAAACTGAACCCTTTGGCTGAGTATCGGCCGGTAGTTGGTCGCTATATCAACTGACCACCGACTGACTATCGACCAGCTAGCGACCAAGTGTTGAGTGACTGTTGACCAACATATCGGCCGAAATCATGACTGATGACAGTTGACCGATATATCACTGACATTTGACTGATATCCCACTGAAATTTGACCGATACTCAATCAAGATGCATCTGCCCAATAACGACTAATGGTCAGCTGATAGTTGGTCGCTATATCAACCGACCACCGACCACTGACCGACTGAGTGTCAACCGAGTGTCGACCGACTATTGACAAACTCTCGGTTGACATATGATGTTATCGATTGACTATCGACCAACATAACGGTCAAGACTAAATACAGTAAACATGATCCAAATGCACTTAAAATGTTTTGAACTCCTTTTGTTCATGTAGCTGGGGAACTCCTCTTCATAGCTCACGATTTCCTCCTAGTCCTGCAAAACCAAAAGGAGGTGGCTGGCAGGTAAGTGTTGTGCCCAAAGTGAATTCAGATTTGATTTAAACAAATATTTATTTTGTTGTCAGACTTTGAAGTTGAATTAAAAGGAAAGCTAAAGCTTATCATGCTGAACATAAATAAAAATCCAAGCTGGAAAGTTCAATGCAATTTCAACGGTGAAGCTTATGATTGTAATTGACCATCCATTATATTTTCTCACACATTGATTTGAAGGGGTAAGCATGCTTTCAACCAAGGCAAACATTTAAAGAGAAAGAACGAAAATCCAAAAAAATTAAATCTGGTGAGACAATCTCAGATAGTGCAGAGTGCAATTTAAGGCTCTGACACAGTAGTCACACAGGTCCTCACCCCTGCTGTTCTCTCCCTTGGTAGTCAACTAGGCCTTTTCCCCTTTGCAAAACATGAACAGCTAAAAACATGATAGGGCATAATCTCAGCATTGTGTATGTTTCATGTTTGTATTTTCTTTCAAGGCCCAAAAATAACTTACAATTACCATTTGTCAAGACAGTTTTCAATTTCATCATGTTGTTTTACTTTGAGTTTCGTTCATTTTAAATTCAATAATACGTAGACATAGAAAATGTGACAATTTTACTTCTCGCACCAAGGTTTGTTACTTATACTTTTGTTTTCCTCACCAAGGTATGCAACATGATACCCTTGTTACCTTGAAAATATAAGAATAGATGAGTTTTTTGTTTTACTCACTACTGGAGGTAAATGGAATAAAGTTAAATATCTGATCTAAATTCGAAGAGGAACAATGTTGTTTTATTCAAAATGCAAATTTTCATTTCACCGATAAACAAGACCTAATCTGACTAATTACATGTATCAAATAGTCACGTCGTGTCATGCAATAGTACGTTCTTATTCACGTCAAACTAATACACAAAGCTAATACAAGTTAATACAACAGAGAAGTGTTTCAACGAGAAGTGTTGAAGGTAAAGATCCTTACTTGGCCAAAATTATATCCTTCTTTGGTGACCAAGTCTCCTCAAAGACTGATGAAATTAATTGGCGGTTTCAGTAAGTGCCACAGAGCCTGCGGTAATAATTGTGAAGTTTCTATTGTCACAAATTTACTAGTTTTGCATGTAACAAACATGAGAAAGTTTTGGCTGAATATGAACTTTTTGCTCCCCTCATAGAAGAGGAAGTAAACAAGCTACCAAGGAGAAGCAATATGTTTCCATTCTTTATTTGAACCAAAACATACAATAGTTATAAAACAGCAGCTGAAATTTCTTGAGTCAAGCTAGGGGTGATGCCAGAAGATACGAAGTCATAGTAGTGTTCTTTGCACTAAAAAAGGAATACCTGACGTTACCTGAATTAGTTGCTATCCCCGGTCAAAACGAGAGTGTGGTATCACTCAAAAAACATGCAGATCTGAACCTGAGAATGGAGTTTATCACACTAGCAATACTAGAACGCATGCGTCTTGCATGTTGTGTTTTACCACAAAGAAAAGCACTCTACATTTGTGTGTGTTTCCATATGAAATGTATCTTTCACCTAGCATATAGTTGACACTGATGTTATCTAATCTGTGCATGCATTTTGAGCAAATTGCTTTTGTTCTTAAGATAACAGCACCACAAGGATTTAAGTATAAATAAGTATAACGCCTTTTGCGTAATGTACTCCAGCTTTCCTCAAGGCTAACTGATGAATTGAAATTAATTAATTAAACAAACATTTAAGTTTACACCTTATGGCATTAGCACCTTAGCAAACAGCAGCCCCCTAAACCATCCCAATAGTGCACTCTGCACTAACAAGTTGTTGTCACATAAACCACGCCATGCAGGAAATATCTACTTAGAACATTTATTTTAAACTGACACTGATGAATTCTGTGTGCAATTTCAGTTGGCTGCATTGATTTTAAAATAATTCAGTCTGTGTTACTGTCTGTTTTAGGTTCAACAATCTTGCGCCACTCAGTTTCATAAAAAGCCAAATGACACGCCAGCTCTTGATCTGAGAAAGTCACATGGGGATGATGGCCTGAATCAGGTTTAGTGAAATTCAATATAGATTGGTTTTAAATGATCTTCAGTGAAAAAAAGTGGTATCAATGTTTCAAAAAAAGAAAAAGATTCTTGGTTCAAATGTAATAAGTGCTATGAATTTTTCTAATTAATTGTATATGGATATGGTAAATGTTATTTTGTTAGTTAAAGTTCAAACCTTTGTTGTATTTAGACCAATACCTCCCTTTGGAGAGTAAGGTGCAATAAAGAATACTATTTCTAATCAATTATATATTAAATGTATTTGCCACTTTTGATGACATGAACATTGAAATTCAAATAATTATAATTTATCACAATCTTTTGTAATTAATTAATAGATATTTTGATTTTAATGTTGAGGTCATCATAAATGACGATGTATGGGTTGAAACTTACTAGAATGAACCAATGGCTGCTGACAAACTGTTTAACTTTGCACAAGTCTTTCAGCCAATACCATCATGTCTAAACTGACCAATCACTTTAAATGGACCAGAGTTACATCATAACATCATCGACTGACTAATACTATTCAGTTCACTCTGAAGATGACTTCCGCTTAGGTTGTCGAAATGTCAGTCACCAACAACAGTTCTTTTTGCCCAGAGTTACCCTCACCCAGATGATCACACTGTACAAACTACTGATACTCCAGGGTTCAAACCGTTTACTATTTTATATAATGGTTGTGCCCCTTTTATTACTAACATGAGACAGCCGCTAACAGCTCAAGTCATCTTACTGTTAACTGATGTTAATTTCTTTTACCAGTTGTACTGATGATTGAATCTTTTGTTTACAATAGGCTTTTCAGGCAGGGAAAGACGATGATAGGGACAAAAATCATGGTGTTCAGTTTGAAGAGAAGCCAGTCAAGGTTAATGATAATAATAAAAAGTCTAGTTATTTGCTAGCTTAGTTTATAATTAAATTTATTAGTTGACTTATTGCTTTTTCTAAAAGATGTGTTGCCCAGTTATTCAGATAAATAGACAAGCTTTAAATTCTATTTTTTTCAAAACTGCCTCTTCCAAGTTTACAAGACCACAAATTGTTTTACAATGTGCTGGACTATTGTGACACATTTGGAAAGATCTGCCTTTACTTGTTAATGTCATAGTCTTCCATTGATATGATTTCTGCCATCACAATAGGTGTCTAAGCCCTGTTATCAAGGATCCAGTTAAATTGTCATGTGCAAAGGGTAAAAAACCCTGCCTTTTCACTGAATAAGTTTCTATCCAGTGGATAAGTTATTTTTCGGATCATTAGTGCATATTGTAGTCGACGTCCAACACGCTACTTGGCCTTTAACCGTTAAGACGAAATGTACAATTTAATGAGTGCGAACAGAAGCGATGAAAAGGGAGCGGTTGCTACAAACAAAATAAATTACAAGTTATAGACGAATACAATGAAAGAAACAGAAATAGTGAGCCGAAGGTAGACGATACTTACAAACGTTGTATGACTAGGAAGCTGAGGTACACGTAAAAAAAGGAAAACGGCACGCCGGTAAACGAGATGAGAAGACAGTAGCGTCGCGAAGAAAATGCACAAATAAACTAGAAAGATGCATACAAAAGGGAACTGAAACAAAGCAAAATTATGCGAAAAAACCTAACAGAACATCAATAACATGAAAGTGAGATAAATGAAAAGAATGCAATGATCACGAAAGAATGCACGCACAAATGGACAAAATAACAATTAAATGCGGCTGCAACATCTGGCTCCTCTAAGAGTTTACTAAAACTCTTAAGTTCTCAGTTTTAACGTTAAAGTTCATAACACAGTTCTCTACTCCTTATGGCTCCTCTGGCTGGGATTTACCCTGGTCTTCATTTTTCATTCTCCAGTATCAGCATGAGTTTGTCGATTGGCAGATCTAGGGTTGTTGTTGCCGTGGTAACTCTGACCGATCTGACCTGTCCATTTGAATCCAGGTGTACGTCGACAACTCGGGCCATGCTCCAGTCGTTTCTTGAGGCTCGATCATCTACGATCAGTACCAGGTCTCCCTTTTCGAAGTTTCTTCGGGGGCGGTTCCATTTTACTCTCTTTTNCAATAAAAGAAACAGAAATAACGAGCCGAAGGTAGACGATACTTACAAACGTTGTATGACTAGGAAGCTGCGGTACACGTAAAAAAAAGGAAAACGGCAGGGTGGTAAACGAGACGAGAAGACGGTAGCGTTGCGAAGAAAATGCACAAATAAACTAGAAAGACGCATACAAAAGGGGACTGAAACAAAGCAAAATTATGTGAAAAAACCTAACAACATCGATAATGTGAAAGCGAGATAAATGAAAAGAATGTGATGATCACGAAAGAATGCACGCACAAATGGAAAAAATAACAATTAAATGCGGCTGCAACAGGTGGTGCTGCTGCTGCAGGTTTCATTTGGACTCTGTTCCTTCGGATCATGGTGCCATGAGAAGTACGAATAGTGCAGGACCTTCTGTTGTCTTTCTTTATTACTTCCCCATAGGTTTCACATGTGTTTTGAGGAGCTCAGTTCTCGTGTGATCGTCAGTGAGACCAAAGATATATTTGTGTCTAGTGAGTTCATCAGTTAGTTCACTGTAAGCACAAAGGCTGCTTGCTTGTCTTACTTTGACTTCCCACTCTTGTATGGACTCATGCGAGGCTTGAGATGAGGTCCAGAAGTTGAAACTGTCGGTGAGAAGTGAACTCTCTTTGGAGCCTGTGTAGTGGGTGCGTAGTTGTTCCATCCAAACCCATGGTTTCTTCTTGTCGTCGGTGGGGATTTGAGGTTCTGTTGTGTACCTAAGTACAGACAAAGCTTCATCTGGAAGTGAAGATCGTAGGGCGGAAATTTCTGGTAGTGCGCTTTAGTAGTGATCTGCATGTTCGGTGACAGGATCTTTGCCAAGGTTGCGATAGTTGGCCTGGATGCAATAATCATTAAAACAAAGCTCAAAATTCTGGAAATTTTCACTCACATTACCCACAAGTTTGAGCTCCGGTCTTTTGAGGGTTGCCATTCTGTAATCCCACTCCTGACACCAAGTCTAGAGGCCAGTACTAGCAGGAGAACTATACTTTATTTGCTATGCGATCCAACATGGCGGACTACAACAACATGGTCTCAATAATCATATGGGAAACCGCTGACCAACAATGGTGTTCTCAGTAAATTTTAAAGCTTTAAACTCTATTGCTAGGTTCAGCAATAATTCCAGCTCATCGCCAAGAAAAGTACTCTTTTCTTTCTTGAATTTGGTCTTTGTTTGGACAGACTTCAACATTTTGAAGTCAGTTTAAAGAGATTTAAAACATGTTGGAAAAATAAGCATGTAGCCACGTGGGTTCAATTAGAACCTTGTTATGCACATGCTCATGGGTGCACTGAAGCATTTTTGCTGCCTGTGCAGGGCTTCCGACATTCTGTGAAAATTTTTTGGAAATTATGTGGAAATTCCAAGGCTTATTATGAGGCAAGAAAGGTCTATTATATGTTATTTTATTAGGTCTCGGAGGAGCACAACCCATTTTTTGTTGTCCAAGACCTTAGTAGAGGATAAAGGGATGATAAAAGCATCTGAAATAAATCATCTGTTATCTCATTTTAAATTGTTGAAATTGGAATGCCCAATTTAGCCAATTTAGTGTCACATGCCGATGTAAACAGAGAATAATTTAATAGACACTAGGGTATTATTTCATTTGCAGCCATATAATATATTTAATCTCCACAGCCGTTTCATATTTAAACACCTTTAGTTTTTTTTGTTTGACGTGCATGAAGTTATTACCACTAAATGGTACTTGTAAAGCAAGCTTTGAATGTCATTTTATAGCATGCAAAGAAAGGGCTAGCAGGCTTAAGCTAGCACTTGCCTGGACCTAAACATTTATGAACAACTGACAACCAAACAACTAAGGTGTGCAAGGCCTCTTATTTTAAACTAGTCATAATTGTCACTAAATCTGCCCCGACCTTGTAAAAATGAATTGGAAGTCCATATTGTGGTATTATTAAGGAATAGAGTTATTTGTCATTAACCTGTGGAATGCAGTTTTTTGTATTACAGTTTCTGAGTGTAATTCCTATGTTGTCTTGTGTGTTTTCTCAATTATTACACTTTGTTTCTCTTCTCTCACGGCGAGTTTCTGAATGGCGGTTCCCGGTGACTTTGGTTGCTTCTACATAGTCATTCCAGCATGTGAGGAAGTAAGACCATTCTTCATCTCGATCTTGCGGCAGAGACTGTTGGGCGCCAGACCTTTTCTACTTTTGCCGTGGCAGCAGGATGTGGTGCAGCGACAGCCGCGGTGTGAGTGTCGCTCGAATGGACGGAGATTAGAACAGCAGCCAGGGCATCCTCAACATCAGCCATTTCGTACTCCCAATCACAAGATGGGCATTTATGCTTTGGCATTGTTGTTGTCCAGGAGAAGGTCTGTGGAAGCTGAGAGTTTACTTTCGGCAGAGAGACACTACATGTTGTGAAAGCAAGATGGCGGGCGGTTTATTGTCTTTCCTGAACAACGAATCTGGACTTCTTGTCGCTGAGGTTCCCGTCGTTTTCTCTGTAGACTTATCTTCACTTTTCTATCATAGATAAGAGTCCATCCATTTTGCTAGTACAACGGCTTAATTAGTTCAGCTCAGAACAGTTCGCATGTACACGGAATAATAGAAAAGTGAAATGAAACAAAAGACAACAAATGTGGCCTGACTAGTGCCAGGTCCCTAACTTGAGTACACTAGTGCCAGGCAGGGCTTGACTGATTTTGCTCTACCAAACATGTTATGTTTAGCATGGACAATTACTGTTTATACTCCTTGTAATAAATTCAACCAACAAATTGAATGCAATGTAATAGAATGCACGTGAAACAACAAAACAATCTTCAATTTTTTATTTGTAACTAACACTATAAATGTCCTATTACTAATGTCTAATCCTGTGATATAACAATTTTTTATTTAATGGTGAAAATGCTTTAGTTGTATTATGTGGTATAATTAATCTCTGTGAGATAGTGGTGATGGTTGATTTATGCGGTAAATTGTCTTATTGAAAATTGTGTTCTAAGCATGTAATTTTATGAAAGCATAAATTGTATTATTAAAAATTTTGTTGTAAGGATGCAATGAATGAATGAATGAATGAAAGAAATGAATGAAAGACTTTATTAAAGTGTCAATAGTATTTAGCTCAAATAAAATTATTGGGGACACTATTTGCAATATTATGAAAGCATAATAATTATTGAGTATATGGTTTGTCATCCTTATCATGAATGTTATCAGTGGGTGATTGTAAAGTAAAATTGTTATCTTCATTCATTTGAAACTCACAAAAGTTGACTGGTGAATTATTAAGTTGCACAGATGCATCAGACTTCTTACTTCTCTTGGCTGTGTTTGCAATTGCCTTCTTTCTTTTTATACTTCTTGTAAAATGAACTTTTTTCCTTCTCTTCTCTTTTTTTTCTGACTGTGCACAACTTTAGTGCCTGACAGTGATGGAGTATCACTGATTTTAGCATCATTAGTATTTTCTAGCTCTACCGCAAGGGAGCTTTTGCAAATGACTTGCATGTAACTTTTGGCATTGCATTAGGTTTCATGTCCATACAGGTATTGTAATTTGCCCATTTTTCTAGAGTGCAGTTTGAAATTTCATCTCGTTCACACTGGCTCTCCATCCCTCTCAGCTCATAAATTGTGAAAACCACCCTTTATAAACTTGTCACAATGAAGAAAAATTTGCAAAATAGAACTAGTATGCCTATCTGCAGTGAATGCGAAAGGGGTCAAGAGTTAAACCAGACAATTATTTGTTGTGCATTTGTGCAGCCTCCTTTCCAGCAGTTGTAGCATGTTACGTAATGCTTTGAAACCCATGTTGCGTCCTAGTAATTGCATGAGAAAGAGGTTGCTAGGGCTACAAATGTTTCTTTCATCTAGTTTCCAGGCTCTAATTGCTTAAAAGTGGGTTAACTTGACTGCACAAAACCATTAACCCTGGGTTAGTGTGCTAACCGTGCTTTGATTAACCAGACCAAGAACTCAGTACAAGAAAAACACAGGTTAATTTTCAACAATATAATTTAGAACTGAACTAGTTCTAGGTTTAGACAGGAAGGTATGACGAACCCACAAATGCTGTGATAGTTGACACTGGCTGAATAAAAAGGAGTCTGGAATGGTTGTATGAGGTGATTTGAGTAAAAGAAATGCATAAAGATGTAAATGAAGATAATAAGTTAAAGTTCAACACAACTGTCAGAATCAACTTTACTTTAAGACAAACCTTTCAGCATCAACATGTGTACAAACCAGAACAATCCTAACAAAGATAACATTACAACTATTGTAACAGAACTGTGTATAAGTGAGGGCCATTAGAAATATGGGTAGTCTCCCTACCTTCTAATTGTCCAGTCATATAAAATGAATAACAACAACAGCAACATGTAAACTGAAGATGTAAACCAGAAGGCTATGTTAAGTAATAGTATATTGGTAGACTGAAAAGTTGTTGCTGATGCGTGACACTTGGTTAAAAACGATTGAAGCGATACTGGATGTATGAATATTGGAAAGTGTCAAAAATGCTCATGAAAACACAGACGTTTCGGGTATATGATCCTTCTTCAGTGTTAAAAAACCGTTAAAAAACTGTTAAAATACGCAGTAGATTTGTAACTACGTTAGATGGACGCACGTACGTAGAAAAATTGCGCGTGCATTGTTTAAATGTAGCTGAAGTTTATGTTTAGTCCATG